ATCTTCATCAAATTTTGCATGTAGGATGGGTTCTGGCCAATGAAGACCCCTATTGGAAATCTTTTTAGAAAATATTGGTTAATATTTAGGGGAAGAAGTGGATCTAAACTAAATTTTTGTCTTTTTTTTACTAGTCGCTCCTGAGGCCGCTATTATGGCCCAAAGAAGGGGATGGAATATACCGTATATATTTACTCCTGAAGGACATAGACCCAAAATGTTGATAGTATATCGAAGAGGAGTGGTTGACCTTTAAATCGATACCAATTATATTGTCGTATGTACCCGGATGTGGGAGTTGCAATAAATATTTACATGTGCTTACGTAATCATATATTATTTAGTAACCCATTACCCATTAGAGGGCGGTAATATAGCGCTGATCACTTTGAAAATTTCCATAAAGATCCAGGTATGGTCAAGGATAACGCCTATAATTTTCGGTGATCAGATAATAGTTTTGGGATAAAGTGGACCGAAAACTTATTTTTTGTGTAATTTGGATTCGATCTATAGGCCACAAGTGATAGCCGAACTTCACAACACAAAGAGTGAAGGGAATCTGGACAAGTAATTAGAAAGACTATACTGAATATTAGTAATATTTGTTGACCTCTAGTCCATCAATAGGGTGCAAATATCTCGAAATATTGCCAAAGCTCAAATAGAATCACGCAAAGTTAGATTTTCGTGGATGTTGTGTAGGGTATCATATGGTCGTCTCCGTCCGACTATACTGCTCCGATCACTGGTTTATCCCTTGTTTTCGATATTTTTTAATTTGTAGTTCAATTTTTATTTGGAAATGGATTTAAAAAAACAAAACAACAAATTGTTATGATATATAATGTTGCCATCAGCTGGTTTGATACGATTGCCTTCTTAATATACCTTGAACAAATCATATCTGTTGTCATACAGTAGGAATGGTCAACATTTAAAATGAACAGCCTATTGAAATACAGTCGACGGTATAACGAATACTCAGTTTAACGAATTCGGGATATAATGAATGAGCAAAATATTAGCATTTTTACCGGCTATAATGAACGATTCAAGAAATAATGGGTCTGTTTAATAAAATTTAAAAGAAAAAAATAATATTCTTATTTTGTTAAATATTATATTTATGTTAAAATCCATTGAAATTTGATTTTAAATGATTTTAAATAATATTCTATCTTAAAAAACTTTGCGATATAACGACTTTTTCGCTATAATGAATGAACCTGATCATATATCATTCGTTATACCGGGGGTTGACTGTACATCAAATTGTGCTGGATATGTCCACACCAAACTTAGGTAATCGGAATATAGAAATAGAGCGGCTATGTTTGCAGTTTAAAATACGGTGGCTAAGTTTAAAAGTACGGTACCAAATTAGCCTACTATTATTTTGCAGTTTTAAATTTAGAACTTGCGCTTTATTATGCCATGTTCTGACGGGCATTCGAACAACGTAGTTCGCTCTCAGAATTACGTACATGAATTAACCCGTTCATACAACACTATTCTTAATTCATGTCATCAAGTTTATTTTTTCAAACTTTTTGTTTCTTGTTTTACACCAAAATTGTAACATATTTGCATGAATCACATGTTGATCTAAATAGAAAAAATAATTCTCTTTCTCCTGAATATAGTATGAACCCATATCTATTAACTTTTAATTAATGTTTTCCATATTTTCTGAAAATATTGTTGTTTTCATACATTTTTATATTTTCTCAATTCAAATGTCACATATAAAAAACTGGAGAATTTTTTTTGGTTGGCCCCACATTTGTTTCTTGTTTTGTACGCTAATTAGAACAAAAGGGAAAGAAATGCATATTGCATTATGTAGACAACTAAATTTAGATCCTTCTGCATACAATTTTCATAGACAATTTTTTACTTTTCATTCATCATTTTCAATTTGACTGAAAAAGTTTGAAAATTTGATAAATATTTTCAAGCTGTCAAAGTTAATTTATTTTCGATAAATACTCTCAATTGTTAAGGGCTAAGCAGAATGCTCGCATTGAGCCGTCCGTCGCGTTATTTGTCATCGAAAATACAACAACCACAAGTCTGCTTTTCCACAGGCAAATTTTTATTTGGCAAATGCTGAGTTTGTAGGCGAGAGGGGTGCGAGGAAGAAAAACAAAAATTTGCCTGTTCAGAATTCGCCGTACACGCAAATTCTGCTTTGCTTTGTTCGTTGAAAACAATTTTGTTGACATTTCCTTTTGAACCCATTCGCTTTACTGACACACAGCCGGCTTTTGTTTACAAACCTGTTGCTTTAATTTGTGCAAGTGAAATTTAATTTTTAATTTTTGCAATTTATATAATAAAATATATAAAAAATAAATAAAATATTAAAAAAGAATCTTTAAAATGCAAACACTTTTGACTTTTATTTTCTTTCTTTTGTATTTTGATTCGCAAATTTGGTAAAGAAAATTTAGCTAATGGAAAAGCAAGCGAAATTTTCAAAAGAGAAAACAAAAAATTTGTCAAATAAAAATCTGCCTGTGGAAAAGCAGACCAAGGAAATGATATGCGTTTGCGATATGCGCCTCACTTCCCGAAGCCAGCTTTGTCTCTTCCTTCACAAATCGGTCCCGGAGGCTCTTCCAACGTGTTTGGCACTGTTTAACTATAAATTTTAAAAAAATAATAATGAAAGAGGGAAAAATATATAATTGCTTACCTGTCCCTTCATAATTTTATTACGATATGATTTAATACTTTTGTCGTAAATACAAGGGTGTTGCTGCACGCAATTTATTAGTTTTCCTTCAAACATTTTGTTCTTTTTTAATCTTTTATTTCAGCGGTAATTTTTTTTTGTTGCTCGAATAACAATAGAATGCAATTGCCGCAATTTTTTTTGTACATTGAAATGTCAACATACAAATGTCAAAATGAAACGCGCGCCATGACGCCAAAAGTTAAAAAAAATTTAACTTTGACGCGAGTCAATGCGCGGGATGGGACAAATGTCTACGTTATTCAGAGAGTGATTCGAATTGAACAACGTACAAAAGTAGGTGTTCGATCAGAACATTTTGTATGGGGAACTAAGTAATTACTTCATAATTAAGGGTCGAACAACGAATGAGAGAGCGAACAACGCTCGTCTGTACATGGCATCAACAGAATTTTGTCGTTGACTTTCAGCAATATTTTGGAAAATCTTAAGGATGTCGATGGGGATACACATACGAGGATTTCTAGTATTTCTAATATTTCTTTACAAATTGACATTTAATACAAAGCCATGGCATAATTATACAAGGTAATCTCATGCAACTACATGTTTCCAATTATTTCATAAATTTACATTTGACAACATTCAGTTTTCAAAATGCACGATGGATGTTTTAAGTGACAAAAAATTTCAAATTGTTTATATTGATTAAAAATTTTAAAGTTCGCTGCCTCTGAAACCTATAAAGATAATGTTACGAATATAACTTTAGATTTAAGTTAATATAGATGAATTCCGTTAATTTAAGAATTTGAATTGTAACGTAAATTTCTACTACGCAGTTTATTCGAATAACTTCACAACAACAACTACTGTATAGATTTTTCTACATCCTTCCATTTCCTCTTTCATTGTCTATTTTGTTGTTGACGTACAATTCTTGTTCAACGCCATCATTGATGATCGCTTAATTCCTCTTTCTTTGTTACTCCCTCGCCTGTATATGTGTTGTTGTTATTGTTCACTCAATGTAAGTTTGTATGTGTTTGTTGCATTGCGTGGTTTTATATTTATCGGGATCGGTGTTGAGAGTTTCTCTCTCTTGAGAGAGTAATTAGAGTTGCGCTATTTTTAATTTTGTAACAAGCGTACTTTTTGTTCACAAAAGGTACGAATTGACATAAACGTACCAAAACAAAAATTATATTTTTTATTATTCGTGAATACATTTACGCTTAAATTATAACATATATTATTTATGCAAACAACTGGTATAAATATTGGCCAATATTTCTCGATAATTATGATTTATTATCATTTGAAGTAGAATTTTAGGTACCTTTTCGTACTTTTTTGTTCCTACCTGTGGCAATGTTTTCCAACACAATTCACAATTTACCACAGAGAGATAGAGAGACTCTCAACACCGATCCCGATCCCGGCAAATATAAAACCACGCATTGGTAGATTGTTCGTAATCTAGGTGTTACCAGATCGTCTAGAAACTTCTGTAGCGACAGGCAAGGCTCATATAAATAGGGGAAATGGCAAGGCAATTAGTCAGTTGTGAATCAGATCGCGATTTGAAACATTCAAGAAACGTAAAGCTGTAACGTAAAGTTGTGTCAATAAAGTCATTGTAATAATCGTAATCAGAAAGAACCCGCGTTTTATTTAGTACGAACTGTATTGGGAAATAAAACAACGTCTACACGGGATTAAGTAAAATCCAAGAACGTAACAATAAGTTTTAACGCCCATAGTAACGTCTGGAGAACAATGTGGAGCATTAGAACATATGTGGCCTGTCCCCGTACTGCAAGAATCGACTATATTTTACGATTCGTCAAGCTTGTTTTCGAACTCCGGTTTTTCTTTATTCTTTTACAATCAACTTACATGCAAAGCCTGAAGTCCTCTTATGTGTTTCTCCCTTTAACGCTTCAAAATTTAAGCAAAGTGAACCCTTTTTTTGGCTGTGCTAAATTTCACGCTTTTGTAACAAATTAAAAAAGGAAAATAACTAGTGATATTTCATGGAAAACGTTAATCGACCTGTTCAAATTTTAGGGAATCTTGAAAAAATTGAGCGCGATGAGTAATCTTTTTTACAGTGTATAGCACGACGAGTAATCATTTTACAGTGTTTAGCATGACAAGTAATCATTTTACAGTGGATAGCACAAAACAACTCTACACACCAGCAACCCAGTTCAGTCAGTTTATGGATATCTAAAAATAGTAAAAAAAATAGTTGTGGTCTATACCAAAGGATTTTGATTTTGAAAAAAACATAAGAATGGCTGATGTATGCGAACCTTTAACACTTGCCAGAGGTAAGTGGTTTTAATTCGCACAATATTTACGTCTAATATATATTTTTTTACAGATGTTAAGCGTTCAATTGAATTATTGGAAAAACTTCAAGCTAGTGGAGACTTCCCGACAACAAAATTGGCAGCTTTGCAAAAGGTCCTGCAAAGTGATTTTCTTAATGCTGTACGTGAGGTGTACGAACATGTATACGAGACTGTTGACATCCAAGGATCCCAGGATGTCCGAGCATCTGCAACAGCAAAGGCCACGATAGCTGCATTCGCCGCAAGTGAAGGACATGCTCACCCCAGAGTAGTAGAATTACCAAAAACAGAAGAAGGTGATCTGAAATTAAGATATGCGTTTAAAATATGTATTTAACAAGAATATTACAGGACTTGGTTTCAATGTTATGGGAGGTAAGGAACAAAATTCACCAATATATATATCTCGCATTATTCCCGGGGGCGTAGCGGACCGTCACGGTGGATTGAAGCGTGGAGACCAACTTCTTTCAGTGAATGGAGTGGTAAGTAAAAACATACAACATAGATAATTAGCAAATATATAGACAATTTGTTTTAAAAAACTGATTTTATTTACGAATGCCAATATGTTGTGTATCCACCTTGTGCGTCGTAAAGGTATTTATTGTCTACAAATTCGAGAAGTGTTTTGGTATAATGATTTACAAAATATTCCAGAATAAGTTAATTTATAAATGTGGAAGCCTTAGCTTCCGAAGGAATTAACTTCTTAAAAATTATATTCATTCTTGCCTCCAATCTCTAGTTTGTTAAAGTGATCTGAAGCTATAAAACTATCGATATTATTAGGTATGTTTGATAACCCAATAATTTGTAACCCATGTTCCAACAGGCAATTAAACAATGATCTTCGTACATGTATTAGGTTCATATGTTCACTTGACACTTGATTTAATAGAAAAATCCAATTTCTTCTTATTATAGTTAGAAGTTTTGATTAAGTACTTTTTATTCCTGTTCTTATTTTTTTATAAAATAAACTATGGTTTTTATTCATTTTATTAATAGAATGACATATCAAAAATCTTCATTATTTTATTTTGGTTTGTCTTACATTTTTTTGTTGTGTTTGGTTTATACCAACGCTTATACAAAACTTAACTATTTTGGTAGTTAAGTTTTGTAGACGATTTATAGGACAAGTCATACGACGACAATAGATTTTTCTTTGTTATTATATCGTTACAACAGAGCAAGCAATGTCAATATCGCAATTATATAATATGTAAACATATATGTTATATAATTTTTAGTCCAAATTTTTTATTTTTTATTTTATTCTTAAATCAAAATGCATTTTGTCAAGTCTTTACGGTTTCTATTTTTTTACGAAATAAAATTGCCGTTAAGCCATACCGATAGATATGAAGAAATTGTCATTATTTTTAATTTGAACATGAAAATGTGTATAGAGTATAATTCTATCGGTGATCTACAAGGGTTATTGTGTATTCTGGAAAATAAATAATAAATTAAAATAACCATATTCATTTTTGAATTTTTTTCCACATCTTGGCATAAAGCAGCTTATTAATTACCAGCTGATATTACTGTAAAATGATTTCTGAATAAATGTTTATTGTAAATATTCAGTAACACTCTCTCTTCTACTAAACTTTTGCGTATATGAACAACATCCTGTAATAATTGGTACAAACTATGGGGTAAACGAACATATCTAAGTCTTAATTTAGATTAGGCGAGTTTACTTGCGGCAAGTCTTTGTTTGTTGGAGAGAGGGGCAAGGAAATAGAAATGGAAAAAAATTGCTCGTACCGACAATTTTCTGGCAATTCGTTTTGTGTATTTCGTATTTGTTGACATTTTATATTTATTTAAATGTGAAAAACTATTGACATCAAATGAAAAAAGAAATATTTTCGAAACCGAATTGCCTTGTATAGACGCATGAAGCATGTTCAAAAGGGAACGATAATAATTGCCGCAAGTAAACTCGCCTAATATAAATCAGGACTAATGTTGTATGTACAAACTTTACTTTTTATGTGTAATTTTTGTCAAATGAAGAAAAAACTTTTTTAATAAATAACATTTCTACTAATTTTTCTAAATTTGTACTAAATTTAGAGTTTTGAAGAATTTCGGCTAAACATAAATATATTTAATCAATTCAAAATTAAAAAAATAACAAAAATATAATAAAAAAGAAAATGTTGGAAAAATTTTTATATCAGAACAATACCAGCCGCAATGACAAGTGAGACAATTTTTTATTGGAAATTAGTACCAAATTATCTGTGATGTCGTAAATCTTCACAGGTTGTAGCAGTTTGACATTTTTTTTTAATCCTGTTCCATATTATTTTCGTTTAGAAATATTTTGCTAATACACCTCTTTCAAATCTTTAAAGTCTGTTGAAGGTGAAAATCACGAGAAAGCTGTGGAGCTTTTGAAACAAGCTGTGGGATCAGTTAAACTTGTCGTTAGATATACTCCAAAAGTTCTAGAGGAAATGGAAATGCGGTTTGACAAACAACGTACCACTCGAAGGAGGCAATAAGTATATCTGTTGGCAGTAAGTATGTCTGTAATTTTAAAAACTATAAACTAATAAAAAGTCACAAACATTATTATAATGCTGTTAATTTTTATTGTAGAATAAAGCGAATTTGGTTACGGATATTCAAGCCAATATGCCTGAAACTAATATCACCGGCTACTAATGATATTACACAATACCTATACAAGTATAATAATTATATATTTATGTTGTCAAACTTAAGAAAATAAATATCAAAAGTGATTGGCTCATCCTATGTATCTTGTTCTTTTAAATTTTTTATTTATAAATGTATTTTGTAAAAAGGGTATTTTAAACATTTAGAATTTTTCTGAATGAAAATTAATATTTTTCTTTCACTAATTGTGAAAAAATGCCATTGTTCTAGGCATGGAAAAATGAAATTAATTTTAAATTCCATTAAATAAGGGGACCCCCCATACTCGGGGTCAAAAATGCTTTTAATTTAATTGGAATCTACACTAATTCAAGAATGTCCCTACAAATTTTCAAGTGAAAATCTCAAGAACTCTTGAAGATATAGCCGATTTATTGTGTCAGCATCAAGTGACGGCTATAGGGCTTCTCAAACTTTAAACGCGTTTTTTTTCTATTTTGCGAATGGCGGGCACGATAACTCAAAATCTAATAACCCAATCGATTCCAAATTTTTACACGTTTCTCTGTGAGTGTATAGCTATCTTATAAACTATGATAAAGCCAATCGGTGAATATCTTGCGTATTTTATAATTTGGATTTTGTCAAAAATAGCGATTTTCCAAAAAAAAAAAAAAAAAAAACAATTTCAAAGGTCCGCCATTTTGTTAATTTTAGAGCGAAGTCAATAATCATAGTTCATACGAGAGTCAGACATGTACTCTTTCTAACACCGTTGGAATTTTCGGATTCCGATGTTCCAGTGAGGAATTATCATGCCCACCATCAAAGATAAGGACTTCTCTTTAATTACAAAAAACAACAACAAAACAATTACACAACATGTGTAATAGCCTAGACAGACGACAGCCTTAATTCAAATTAATTTGTACACTATCCTTCTTTTTATGTGTTGTTAATACACAAAATAAAACTGGACTTAATAATTATAATATGGCAATGCTGTCGAAAAGTAATTGACTGCAATTTTTTTAAAAATTAGAATGAAAAACAAAGCAAATTTCAATATTCATTTAAATTGGCAGTTGCTGATAGCGCAAGTGCTATACGTATCAAATGACAGAAACATGTCATGCATTCGTACAATTGTACGAAAAACTTTCATAAATGCAGAAACGTTTTAATTTTTTAATTGAAATGTCGAAACACAATTTCTATTCAAAAATAAATTTGTTAAAATATGAAAAATAAATTTCAAATCTTGGAAAAAAACAATTGAATTGTTTACGAAAATAGTGTATGGTGACCAATTTGTGTAGTGGAAGAAATGTAGAAAATAAACCATAATTTCCAAGGTTTATTCATAAGGTTAACAGGGAGGCGAATTCGTAGTCTTCATTGACTGTCAAATTTATTATTTAAATAGTAAACCATGGTTCTGGAACAGACCAATAAAAGGTAACAGCAAAACCCAGCTGATTTGATTCCAACGTAATACTAATATCAATATGAATATGAAAAATTATGTTTTTAAAAATCACCCAACAGGAAAATTGGCAACGCATACAATTCGAAATTGTTCTTTATTAAATGTCCTCCTGTATTCAATTTATTCAATCTGCCTGCTGGAAAAGTTTGTGGAAGAAAATCTTTCTTCATGGAATAACTCGCAATTCCCAGCACTTTCATATGAGTTACAGATATAAATGGCAATGGCTCAATTATAGGAAAGATGTGGAAGCGATAGAAACATAAATTTGATAGATTTTCATTCGTGTTTTTCAATTGTATTTTGAGGATTCCAAAATAAATATAATTTGTTTGTTTACATTTTTCTGTCAAATGACGTAGTCTTCATTGACTGTAAAATTTATTATTTAAATAGTAAACCATGGTACAATTATAAAAGGTAACAGCAAAACTCAGCTGATTTGATTCCAACGTAATACTAATGTCAATATAAATATGACAAATTATGTTTTTAAAAATCACCCAAAAGGAAAATTGGGAACGTATACAATTCGAAATTGTTCTTTATTAAATGTCCTCCTGTATTCAATTTATTCAATCTGCCTGCTGGGAAAGTTTGTGGAAGCAAATTTTTCTTCATGGAATAACTCGCAATTCCCAGCACTTTCATATGTGTTACACATATAAATGGCAATGGCTCAATTATAGGAAAGATGTGGAAGCGATAGAAACATAAATTTGATAGATTTTCATTCGTGTTTTTCAATTGTATTTTGAGGATTCCAAAATAAATATAATTTGTTTGTTTGTTTACATTTTTCTGTCAAATGACTTTGACACTAGTATAACTTACAACAACAAATTTCCATGTGGTTGTTGTATCGTTTGTTGTACAACAACACTTGCTGTTACCTTGTATTATTATACCATGATAATAAACAAACAAAAAATATTATTATTCCAACCAAAATATTTGTGCACATTATTATCATTACGTTTTCTTGAAATATATTTTGAGTCTTTATCCTGTTCTGGTTGGTATTTCGCGATTAAAATGTTGACAGCAAGAGAAGACTAAGGCATTAATTCGCCTGCCTGTTAACCTTATGAATAAACCTTGATAATTTCTAAATAGGATTTTCGCTCCAAGTACAACTTTTGACAATAGGTGTAGGTGCAGTGTTGTACTTTTGAACGAATTCGCCTTTTGGATGACCTGATATTTTATAATAAACCGACAGCCCATGGGACCTATTTTGGGCACTGCTGCATTAAATTGATTTGACAAACGTAAATTATTTCCTTCGAATTAAAAATCGAGATGAGTCCCAAAACTAAATAAATTAGTGTTGAGTTTATTATAATTATAAAATTACGCAATGAACTAACATCTTTGCGTGAAATTGGTACAAGTCACTGTTCTATACAATACACCATTAAAAAGTCTAATTCCACTTTACTCTCAACACTCGTTTTTTACTCAGCGCTTAAACGGCATTTACGTTAGAACTTTTTACCGGGTTAACCTACTTGATGTGGATTTATTTGACATATATGCAAATTATTTGACAATTGAAACCCACTGGGTTAACGAAATCCGGTTAAATGTAAACGTACTATTATTTAAATATTTTTCTTCACAAGAACTTCCCTGTCAAAGGTTTTATAAGTGATACTCATTAACTTATTATAAGGATTTACAGTTGCGGTCAACATGATAGCAGCGCACCTTACAATCAATATTTGGAAAACTGTGATGGGAACATTCCAAAATAATTTTTTATGGTGAAACTGGATCCGGGCAATATGTTAGACGTCCAAAGAACAAACAATCGGATCCCTAAAACCATCGAAGACGTTTTGAGCGTTTTTCTCGTACTGCAAAGTTGGACCTAGATATATCTCACAAAAATAAAAAAAAAAACAGAAGACGGGTGATTTGGCTTTGGGAAATTCCTTAGATTTCCCGCTCCTACCTCAATATAAAAATAAAAACCAATCATGCCCCAAATATGTACGTTGTAATGAAATTAAAAACACTGAAAAAACTCAACAATCTTTCAACATATTTCTGTTATCGAAAGCAATCCAAGGAATTTATACGTAAGGTTTTGTCGAATGCCAAAAAAAAAAAAAAAAAAAAAAAAAAATTAGGCATGGTACTATATTTAACACTCCATCCAACATAATTAGTTTCAATCTATACAAACTACCCAAAACTGTTGAAATTGGCATCATAAATTGCAAGGTTAATTTATATATGTACTCCTAACCCGATTCAATTTAAAAACTGTTTTAACCTCGGTCACACAAAAAAATTCTGCAAAATGTTAAATATTTTAAGAAGTTTGAGTAAATTCAATCCCTCCCATTTACATACATTTTACTTCTACTTTCATCAATTGGGTCCTATCAATTAAAGTTCAAATATGTTTAAAAATTGAATAACAAAATCCATCTTACTCTTGTGAATACAAATGGGCTAAAAAACAGAATCCTGAATTAATCATTAGGTATATTTGACAACATAATTTGTACAAAGTGTTATTGATTGCATCACTTTGTGATAGTTTTGAATTTAAAACCAGTGAGCGGAGCGTTATAGTCGGACGGGCCAACTACATGATACCCTACATAACTAACACTGAAGTCGAATATTTTGTTGTTTAGAGTATACATATATAAATTATTTTCCATACTTTGAAACATAATTGGTCTGTTCCCGTACAGCAAGAATCTACTACTTGTTACTACGATAACGAATTTTCCTTTATGATATCGAAGAAAATAGTAAATTCTAGTAGATTCTTGCAGTACGGGAACAGACCAAATGTTATGGCGACCAAATTTTGGAAATGAAAATAGTTGACATCAAGAAATAACTACACAATTTATTTGAAAATAGATGGAATCAAGAAAGAAATGAATAATTTAATTGGATTCAATTTTTTTTTTCATATTTTGCAGAGCCACTTATTAGGTATTTAAAATAAATAAAAATAGTAATATAAATACAGTCGAATTCGGATAAGCGAACGCTGGTTTATCGAAAAAATCGGTTAAATGAAACTAAAAATTATAATCTAATATTTGGGATGAATTTTCAAACGCTTTACTTCGCTTAAAAGAAAAGCCGGTTAATTGAAAATCTGTATAAGAGAAAGACTTTTTTGTTGCAAAATACCATATATATGAAACCAGTCCCGTTTAAGAGAAAAAAAATTGTCATTTTTGTATAGGCGACGAAATTCATTAAAATTGTTTATGTGCAACCCTTAAAATTATTGTGCACATTTTTCCAACCATACTAACTAAATGTCTACGAAAAAAGGAAGTTCTTACCCAATTCATTTTACGATTTATTCATTTCATGATTTTTCAGATATTGATTGAAAACTTCGTTTAAGCGTAA